TAGTGCCTGAGCTAACTAATACTGGTAAATTTGTGTTACGTTGTTTTTTTGTAAATGGCTAGTCAGTTCCAACTGGTTGGCTTTGTGTATTATTTTATGTCAACACTGTTACTATGTATATGTTATTTCAATGTTACCTCAAATGTCATATACGTTGGCAACAAAGCTCTTATAAAACGTTTGCCTCTGAATTGCTTAACAGCATTTTATGATCATTGTATTCATTTTAATATCCTCTTTGCCATTTCTTTTTAAATCTGACCAGTGTTTCTCTAGGGGAAATTAATATATAAATACAAATGAAAGATGGAAGTAGAAAAGATCAACCTTGTGTCACAGACAGTTTGCTTGCCAGTTTGAACCCACACAGTGATACCATGAAAGAAAGGCCTGACAATCTGTTTCTGTTAAGACTATACCCAAGAAAACTCAACTCTATCACATTGGATTGCCATGAATCAGAATTGACTGAAGCCAATAGGTTTAGGTTTTGTTGTTTGTTATTCAAGATAGAAATGGAGTCGGTATACAGATCTAGAACAAATTTCCATTAACTTTCTATACCGAAAAATAACTTGTGACTTAGGGTCAAGATCAAGAAATAAATAAAAGAATAAGAAAATAAGTGAAAAATAAAAGATGACTAAATGGGTTCACATGGATATAGCTATGTCCATAACTTGATTATCTTTGTCTTGGTTATATAATCATGATATTATATACAATTATATTTTATACCCCCAAGTGGTTCTTGTTAGTCTAAATGGCCTGAAATCGTTTTTGGAAATCAAATTATTTCCCTATATTATGATTTTTAATGCCTTTAAAACAAACCCAAGATAACCCTCAAGATTATTGAGGAATTTGGCTATGATTGTTAAATTTCTAATTTATATTTTGTTTTTCCAGAGTTATTTGTACCAAATCCTACAAGGAATTGTGTTTTGTCACTCTAGAAGAGTTCTTCACAGAGACTTAAAACCTCAAAATCTATTGATTGATGACAAAGGAACAATTAAACTGGCTGATTTTGGGCTTGCCAGAGCTTTTGGAATACCTATTAGAGTTTATACACATGAGGTGAGTAGTTTTGTTTTGCTCCCAGTGCATTTGAGTATGTGATTCATGGAAGGAAGACTGGGCAATCTACTTACATAAAGATTTACCACCTCAGAAACCTAAAAGGGGTCGTTAGGAGTCAAAATCAACTTGATGGCAGTGAGTTTGATTGGGTTTTCGAGTATGTGATTAATGGATAGTTTTCTGTATTTGTTCTTTAAATCAAGAAAGAACTAATCAATAAAGATTTCCCTGACGTGCCAGTATCAGTTTATTGCCTTTCAGCTCCAAATTCACTCTCTATTACATGTTTTGTGAAAATGGAACAGGAACTTTAAATATTTTTCTTTGTCAGATGGGGTGATGTTAAGCTTTGTAAGAGTGCTGAAGACAAATATTGCAGGATGGTAGGGGTTTCTCTTTTAAAGTTTTTACAGTTTTTTCTTAAGTTTTTAAAGTTCTGATTGTTTCTTACTGTAGCCAATACCTCATACCTCTAATTATAGTTAATAAATTTAATAATTCTTTATATTAAAATTTTCCTGTTTACATTATTGTGTGGTTTATTTCTCCTGATTGGAGCTATGCTGATCACACACAAATTAATTAAAAGACATATTTTATTGCTAAAGGGGTAGTATTTCATTTACACTTAGAATCTACCCAACATACTTTGTCAGGATAAGACTTGACATTTAATTTGGTATTTCTAGGGGAAAAGGAATGCTGAATGAAATAGTAAAAGATGATCAGAAAAATGTTTTCTAAAGACTATCCCAGATGGAAACCTAACTTTGCTCATCTGATTAGATATCTTGGCTTTTATCTATCATCCCTTCCATGGCTCTAAATAAAGATTAGTTGGTTCTCATTGGTTTAAACAAAAGGTTTTACACTTTGTTGTATGTTAGAGGTGACATTTTCAGCCATGTTGAGAAATTTTATATACTACATAGCTGATTAGTTCTAGACTCCTAGTAAACTGTTCAAGTTTCTGGTTATCATTTTAGCATGTTAATGTCGATCCCAAATCCTTAATTGAGTGAAGGTTTTGTTGTTGTTGAAGAAATAAGGCTCTGTCTCACTGTTCTGTTCCTCTTTCTTTAATTGATAGCACTTGATGTGCATTGACCTTTTCCTCCTAAAGTAAATGAAATACTTATCTTCAATTTAGTATTTTGTGTATGTTGTTGTTGTTATGTGCTGTCAAGTCGGACCCGACTCATAGCAACCCCTCCTTAGGTTTCCGAGGCAGTATCACTACGGAAGTAGATTGCCCCATCTTCCTTCCGAGGAGTGGCTAGTAGGTTTGAACCGCTAGCTTTCTGGTTACTGTGTAAGTGAAATCTAATATTCAGCTAATTTAATGCACTATATTTATTCAATGTAAAAATATGTTTTATGATAGGTAGTAACTCTCTGGTATAGATCTCCAGAAGTATTGCTGGGGTCAGCTCGCTATTCCACTCCAGTTGACATTTGGAGTATAGGCACCATATTTGCAGAGTTAGCAACTAAGAAACCACTTTTCCACGGGGATTCAGAAATTGATCAACTCTTCAGGATTTTCAGGTATTTCTGTTTTATATTTAAGCTTTTAAACTTTTTAAGTTGAAAAATAATAAAGGCAATCTGTATATGACAAATAGTTTATATTTATTATATTTATGCTTTAACTAATCATTTGTTTTGCTTTGCTATGGTTTTTAGAGCTTTGGGCACCCCCAATAATGAAGTGTGGCCAGAAGTGGAATCTTTACAGGACTATAAGAATACATTTCCCAAGTGGAAACCAGGAAGCCTAGCATCCCATGTCAAAAACTTGGACGAAAATGGCTTGGATCTGCTCTCGGTAAGGAGTGACTTTTATACTGACTTTAATATTATTGATGATTCTGGATGTACTCAGTCCTTCTTTTAATTGGGAAAAAGGGAGAAAACTTAACATTTACTGAACTAGGTACATAATTTATGATGTCTTTTATGTCTGTTGTATTACTAGCTCCATGTTAGATAACAGGAAAGACTAGTGTTTTGAGAAGATTTAGCATTTGTTTTGTTATTATTTTGATAAGTAGCTGTAGGCACTCTTCTTTGAAAGAGAGGCCAGCATTAATGCACCTTTTTTTTTTGAGTTCTTAAAGTTTTTTATTGCATGAATTCCATTTTTCACTTTTTGCCTGGTGTCCACATTGTTGTTGTGTTGTTATGTGCCGTCGAGCTGTCCCCAACTCATAGCGACCCCTCCTTGGGTTTCCGAGGCAGTATCACTACGGGAGTAGGATTGCCCAACCTTCCTTCCGAGGAGTGGCTGGTTATCCTTGCTTACGGAAGTTTATTTTCTATTATCGATATTGTTAATTTGATTCAAAGGCCCTTCTGTATTCTGGGCCCAATTTGGCTTTCACTGCAGTTAAACAAAAATCAGGTATTGTAGATCAGAGTTTCTCAGCCTAGTTACTATTGACTTGTGGGCTGGATACTTCATTGTTGCTGGGCTGTTAGGTGCATTGTTGGATGTTAAGCAGCATCCCAGGCCGCTGCCCAGTAGATTCTAGCAGCAAGCCCCCAGTGTCCCAAAGGGCAAAATTATCTAGGGTTGAAAAACACTACTGTGAATGGTCAGTTAGGCTTGGTTTCAAATTCTAGTTTTATCACTCTCCAGCTCAGTGCATTGGGTCAATTTTCCTAACATCTTTGAGCCTCAGTATCCTCATTTGTAAAATGGGACTAATACATACCTTTTGTTGTGAGGATTAAATAACATCATATGTGTAAAGCTCAAATGGCAACTTAGTAAAAGTCCTAGTATCTCGTTTGCTTGCCAGCTAGACTTTTTAAAGATCAATAGTAAACTTTATTTAGCTCTTTCTTGTGATCTGTAAATTAACTTTAATACTAGGTTTCTCTAACTGTAATTAATTTAGTGACTCATTTTTAGCTGTTTATAACACATTGTACTTTGGGCTTTTCTTTAAAACTTGCTGGAAACTACATCAGAAACCACTATAGTAACATGCCACCATTTCAAGAATGTTGTAAATAACTCATGGCCATTAAATTCTCAAAAGTAGATATGATTAACTATGTATCTTTCTTTCTCAAATTTATATCTTGGTTTCAAAGCTATCTCTGAATGTTTTTGTCTTACCATAATTTATAACAAAAAGAGGTTACTGAGGTATCTCTGATTTGTGGAGTAGATTATTCTAGTGCTTGAGGGTAAAATATGAACAATGAGATGTGGTTTAGTGTTGAACTAATGGAAATGTCCATTTAGTGGATTTTCACTAAAATAATTTACTTATTGGTAGATAAGAGTTTATGAAAATGATTTTAACTGGTTCATTTTCTAAATAAATAAATACTTCATTTCCTTTTCTCTTTTTTTCCCCCCTAGAAAATGTTAGTCTATGATCCTGCCAAACGAATTTCTGGGAAAATGGCACTGAATCATCCATACTTTAATGATTTGGACAGTCAGATTAAGAAGATGTAGCTTTCTGACAAAAAGTTTCCATGTGTTGTATCAAGAACATATAGTCATCCTTTCACTTGTAACTATTTTTGTTGTGTGTACTTATCTTTTCTGTAAAACTCAAGCTGTACTTCATCTTCTAATTTCAAAAGTGTAACTTAAAAATGTAAATATTGTTCTATATGAATTTAAATATATTCTGTATATGTGTGTAGATCTCACTATAACAACCGCTTGTTGCTGCAATAAAATTATGTATCTAGTATTGATGTCAGGAATCAAGACAGATTTGAATTGCCTTAAATCATGACAGTCCTTACAGCAGTCCTGTTTTCCTGGAGTTTTGCAAGTTGGACTAGTAAACTTTAGGAAAATGTGTTTACAAGTTCAAGTTTTATTATGCTCCGAATGTTTAAATTTTCATGTCACTTTCTTGTCATTTTGGTAACTATACAACCTGAATTTATTTCTACTGGCATTTCAGTTTGTGACCATTTAGATTTAAGCATGCAGAATCAGAACACTATCCAGATACGGGAAATGATGCTAAATGCTAAATTTGTAGTAGTTATCAGTGAATTATAAAACTGAACTAACATTAAGGAATGCCAAAGTTTTGCTAACTTATACTGTCAAGGATCAAGCGTAGGGAAGAACAATTATGAAAATTTATGAACTATCCTATTTTTAGTTAGGTTATAAAAGCTACTTGTCTAAGTGAATCGCATGCTTTAGTCAGAGGTAATAACTATACATGGGAGTTGCTTATCTTGGCTTTCAAGAGTTGACTTTAAAAACTTATTTTCATATTTTGGCATAGTGTTATTAGCAGCCTCTTAAAAAGGTTCTAACCTACAAGTGTTTAGCTGAAACCACTAGCTTCAGAAATTCTTTTATATTGCTGGTCATTGTGATTCTTATGTATAAGCAACTTATTTAAAATTATTTGTTATAGTGATGTCTATAAAAATAATTTATTGGTGTGTGTATAGCTATCATTTTGTCTGACCAGTATCCTATTTCTCTTCCTAGTTACATATGGCTAAAGTAGACGTTCTTGGATTACTGATCCTTAGACCCATTGATTAGATATGTGTGGATAATCTACTTGATTCATGTAAATCAAATCCCTTGTCTTGGACTTTGCAGTCTATAGGAGAAAGCGTGGATTAATTAGTCTCTTTGCCATGGTGTATAAAATGTAAGGCTTGTAATCCTTTTCTGGTTCAGAATCGTCATTCATCAAAGAAATAGTAATAATAACAATGCGTCGAATAATAGAAAATAACACTACATCCTACACAGTTAGGTTTAGTATCGACTTCAAAATACTTCTGTTTCAGTTATATAAGTATATATACCTCACTGCTTTTGATGCAAGAAGTCAGAATTGTTTGAAAACAGTCAATAACGCACCAATGTAGAACAGACTTGGTTATCAATTACTATAATGAGTAACCTACTTTTCATCCTGTTCCAAATATTTGTGTAGTCTTTGTGCAAATACATCAATTCAGTGGCTAGATAAAAAGGCTACTGAACTGGGGTCTCATGCGTATTGTTAGTTTGTGCTGTGGTACTTCTGATTAATTTTTAAATGGGGGTTGACTTTAGGGCCATGGTTCTTAAATCTGCTGTGCATTACAAATACCTGGGGGCTAACTCTTCCCTTACCCTGAACAACGCTGATAATGCATATTAGGAAATGTACCGTATGACTCTATTTTTCAAAAGCTCCACTAAGTGATTCTGATGTAGCCAGTTATCACCAGTCAGTGATGAGTTTGACAATTTTAGGGCCTTTATCTAATTTTAGTTGTCCTGAACCTTCTGTATTTAAGTCTCTTACGTTATTTAGCAGCCTCAGAAATCACTATATTTGACGTTTTCTATTTGTTTCAGTTTATACACTTTTTAGTGGGGGAGAAGGATATATATTTCCTCACCAATAAAAAGTTTTCATACCTGAGCATAGCACTGCTCTAAAGAGGAAATCTTAACATTGTCCCTAATCTCTACAAGTTTCTTTCCATCCCCCCCATTTTTGAAATTAAAAGAGACAATAATGATGCCAACAAGTTAATACATAAATGTACAATAAATCCTTACTAATTTATGTTAGTATGACATGCAAATTAAATATTTTGAAAGAACGATACTATTTTTAGAATTGAGTTAATAAAATGGCCCAGTTAAAGGCTTTTTGGACCAAACTTTCTGACCAAGAAACAATAGATGATCTAGATAGAATGGGAGGAAAATATAGAACAAAACTCAAAATTTTTAAAAAAGGTCAGACTTACTGAACCGGGAGAGACTGGAGGAACCCCTGAGACTATCTCCCTGAGATACTCATTAAACTTTGTACTGAAACCCTCAGTGGTCTCCCTTCAGCTACATAACAGATTGGCTCATAAAACAGTATCACCCCTGAATACTGTGCTCCTTTAAAAAATCATGAGACCAAATGGTCAACATTTGCCCTGTAGCAAAGATGAGAAGGAAGAGCAGGGAAGCTAAATTAATGGAAACTGAACAACCAGAATGGAAATGAGAATGCTGACACACTGAAAGATGTAACCAGTATCAATGAATAACATACATAGAAATTGTTAAATGGGAAACCTAATTTTCAGTGTGAACTTTCACCAAAAACAAGAAAAGGCTTTTGGGGCTTAGAACAATAGGTTAGAATAATGTTTATTTTTTAAGGTGCTTGATAAGGCTCCAAAGAGCTCTTTATTGGATAGAACAAACTTTTTTACATTAATTTCTTTAGCAAACTATTTCATAATAGATCAACTTTAGTATTATCCATATTTTAAAAATCTGTGAAGTACCATAGGATCATACAATCATGAAAAAAGCCAATTTAGTGAGTGGGTGTGTGTGTATAATGCAGAGTGGAGAGAGTAGCTGGCATTGTTGAAACTGGGACTTTGAACCGGTTCATTGTGCTTTCTGAGAATTTTCATTTCCATTCCAGATACACTGAATTTAGAATCTACATTTTAACAAGACCCCTAGGTAATTTTTATATACAGTTTTCAATCTCGTCACATTATAAATTATAAATTATAAATATATTTATATTATAAATATGCTTTGAAAACCCCTTAAGGCTCCAGAAGAAAGGTATTATTAAGCATGGATGTTGAGGAAAAAAGTACTACAAAAACAGCTGCATTTCTTTAGAATGCTGAAAGTCAGTGTCTCTACAGCTCAGTAGGCCTGTGGAAGAAGCACAAAGATGCAGATGGAAAAATCAACCAAAGGTCAGGTATCCATAGTGGTCATTGTTGAGAAAAGTGACATGTAATGTAGGTTACAAACTTCAGATCCTGACAGAATTTGGTTCCCAGTTCTAACATTTCTGTCTGTAGTCTCAAGCAAGTCACCCAACCTCTCTATTTCTCTATTTCCTCAACTGAGCAATGCTGTTGCTGGTAGGTGCAATTTGAGTTTGCCTTGACTGATTGTGACCCTATGTATAACAAAAGGAAACACTGCCCAGTCCTGTGCCATCCTCACAATCGTTGCTCTATTTGAGCCGGTTGTTGCAGCCACTGTATCTATCCAGTCTATCCATCTTGTTGAGGGGCTTCCTCTTTTTCGATGACCTACTTTGCCAAGCATGATATCCTCCAGTGACTGGTTCCTCCCGATAACATGTCTGTGGTAGTTCATTTTGTGTGTCAACTTGGCTAGGTCTGGTTGAGTAGCTGGGCAGCTGGATGTAGTATTCTCCATGATGAGACTGGTAATCAACTCCATGGTAAAATCTACTGTGAGCAGCTGAGTAGCTGCCTTTCAGTATGTGGTCTGCTTCCCATATATAAGCAGCAGCTTTGGGAATGGTCTCTAGCTTATGGCACACTTGGACCCTGCATGTAGCCATGTCACTGTTCAGCAGACTGCCATGCTCTGCCGACTTTGGGACTTAACAATGGACTTGAATTAATGGACTGTCGTGTTTGGTAACATCAGGACTATGCCATTTTATTTGTCAAACTTGCACTTGTCAGCCTCAGCAGCCAGTAGCTGCCTGAGTGAAGAGATGCCTCTAGCTTCAGTGGGCCGGGAGCAAGAGGCAGAGCTGAAGCCCAAGGTCAAGGGGCTTTCACAGAGCCCCTAAAGCCTGGCACTTTGAACTCGGATTTCTAGCCTCCAAACTGTAAGAGAATAAACTCCTGTTTGTTAAAGCCATCCCATTTGTGGTATATTCTTGTCAGAGCGGCACTAGGTAACCAGAACAATCTCCAAAGTACATGAGATGAAGTCTGCCATCCTCTTCTAAGAAGCATTCTGCCTATACTTCCAAGACAGATGTGTTTGTTCTTCTGGCAGTCCATTCAGTATTCTCCAACATCATAATTAAAATGCATCAATTATTCTTCAGTCTACTGTATTCATTATCCAGCTTTCACATGCACATCAGGCAACTGAAAGTACCATGGCTTGGGTCAGGTTTACTTTAGTCCTCAAGGTGACATCTTTGCTTTTTTAACACTGTAAAGAGGTCTTTTGTAGCAGATTTGCCCAATGCAATATGTCCTTTGATTTCTTGACCGCTGCTTCCATAGGCCTTGTGTGTGATTGAACAATGGAGATAGTAAGATGAGTGTGCGAGATAGAGGTACAGTTGCAAGGCAGCCAGCATATATAGGACATGTCCTTTGTTTAATGATTTTATCTTGTATTTGTCAGGACACTCTAAATGTCCTATATTGAGCTTTTCGCAAAATGTTACAAAGACTGGGCAATTAGAGCTATTTTTTTCCCACAGTAATTGGTGCTTCAATCCCTTAAATGGCAACACTAGTTTGAGTGTATAGTTAAAGTCCCTGGCACATAATAGGAAACCCACTGTTACTATCTTATGGCTTAAAATCTCAACTCTGTACAATGATCCTCCATTTTCTATCTCTGGCCTCTCCTATCTTCTGATTTCTCCTCTCTTGGAATGTCCCACCCCCAACTCAAAAGCTGTAACACCCAAGAGAGGCTGCCTTGAGGTTGAAGTGATTTCTTTCTCCAGTGAATTCTTAAAGCCCACTCTCCTCACATTAGGAGAAGCTACTGTGCTTTACAAACATTATTTTTCACAACAATCTTGGGAGGATATCTTCCATTTTACAGATGATAAAATTAATGTTCAGTGAGTTTTCGTAACTTACTGAAGGTTGCAAAGCTAGTGAATGCTGGAGTAA